ATGCAGTGTGCAGGGGCTGCTAAGTGATAGCCACACAGTGAGACAAACTTCATTTCCACCCTGTGATGGTTTCAGTGAGTGCACTGAAATCCTTAAGCACTCTGCTGGACCAAATCATCAGGAACTAATTCAATACCCTCTTATTTTCCATAAACTCTGGCAAAGGAGAAGAAACGGCATGCTTCTATCCCCTTCCTCAAAAAATAGCAACCTTCTTTCATGCTATCTACCTGAGCCTTTGCAGAAAGCAAGATTTCTACCACACAGTTTGATCTTCTTACAGGGCTGCAATTATCTTGCCATCTGCACTGCCTCACCTCATGGGTGAATGTTGCTTTTTAATCCAAATTAGTATGTTGCACTGTATATAAATATGTACTTCTGGCTGTGAGGCAGGTATACCCCCAGAGAGGGCACATGTCATTGTAAAGCCCAAATACATGGTTTATTGTTTTTTTGTGTGTATTTTTAGCTTTGGGGCAGGTAGACCTGCAGAGCAAATAATACAGAAAAAATACCTGCATTACAGAGCTGCTTCCGTGCTTTAAATTTATACCACTCTTCTTCCAGATTTGAATGTAGTGAGACAAGTGCATTGGCAAAATAATTATTTATCAGCCTTAAAAGCTTCCTTCAAAATTTCTATCATTCAAATACTGGCTGGGGAAAATGAAAAGCACAGACAAGCATATTTGATGTACTCGCCAGTCTAGCTTTTATGCTGATGAGAACTTACTAAACACCAGTAAAGGGAATAGCAGTTATCAGCCCTAATTCACAACTGTGAAATTTTTAGGCCAAGCAGATGCCCTTGCAGAATCCCAGCCAAGAGCTGTGACAGGCCGGACCTCTCACTGCTGGCACCAGATATTTCCTTTGGCTTCAGATGCTACATGCAAGCACTCAGTTCTCAGAGACGTGATCCCAAGGTGTGACCCACAGTGAGCGTGCCTGGGACTTCTGGCATCACCCAAAGAAAAGAAGACATCAGTAGGCACTGTACTTTGCCCCAGGCTAAGAAAACTGAAGCCTGGGTGTAAATGTTTGCAAACTGAAGTTTATTTTTCCTATTGGTGCACTCGGAATGAACACTGAAAGGACCAAAGTGCCTAATTCTATCATAGCAATGCCCTTCTCAGACTCCTAAAGCTGAGATTGTCAACTTATTGGTTGTCACAGAGTTTCTGAGGAAGTAATTTGCTTGATTTTACAGTATAATCTCAGCATATGACTTTATGTCTGTTGTTACCGGAATGCAAAACACACACAGCCTGCTCTCTGTCTCGCCCCTTATAAATTACTCACAGACCTGAAAGTCCTCAAAGTGGCAAGCTTCAAACAACACAATTGCTCTAAAAAAAGCTAAATCTCCGCTTCAAGGAGTCTGCTCATTAGCAGCTCTTCTAACAGAGGCAGGAAAATTTCCATGTTGAGAGTTCAATTCAGACGAAGGCAATGAAGACTGCAGACCACCAAACTGTTGACATTGCTTTCCAGCACATAAAATTAACAATTTGTGCTGCTACGTGCAACTTTCAGTCAAAGTTTGTCTGATTTATAAGCAAGCAGATGGTTCACACGATAGTCCACAATAAATTACAACAGTTAGAAAGACAGCTACATTTTGAGATTGACAGTGCAGCTGAGCTACAGATGGGTTTATAGATGACCTGTCCAATTTTTCATAATCTCCATAATTTATGTGCTAGTAAAGAAATGTGAGGATTCCTAATGCACCTTCTTGACTAAGTACAAATCACTTTTATTTACACAGGCAATACTTCATGGTCCAGTTAACTTCCTAATTAAAGACAGCAAGATGCTCATGTTCCATGCAAGTGGCATGGAAAACACCGTTTAGTTTGCAATATGTTCAGCTGGGAGTTTAAGATGCTCTGATCGCTCCAGGAGAAATGAATGCATCTATCTCATTTCTCTAAAACAAGACTATAAGGGTGCAAACACAGCTACCACCACTTGCTATTCATCACTCTCCAGATAAAACTGAGGCTCATGCAATAACAAGGTTACATTTATTTGCAGTCTCTCACATTTACAAATGGGTCCTAATCCAGGAAGAATTACAAACCAAGTGTTACTGAGCCAGGGCACGGGAAACAACAGGAGCAGAGACTCTTCCTACATTAAGAAAGAAGTATTTGGGGGTCATTCTTGAATAGGTAAGGGAAAAGGTGAGTGAGCCTGGAAGGTCACTGCTGAGACAGGAGGTGGTGGTGATGCAGCAGGAAATGCTGGAAGCAGCTTTTAGAAGTCAGTTCAGGTTTGTGGTTTTATTGGCCGTATCTCTCACATGGGGCTGAATGACTTCAGCACAATCTTCTGCTAATATCTTTGAAGGGTAGGCCAAAAGCATACCTCTGTTAGTACCATAAATTGCATGCCACAGTCCCACAAATTCATTCTTCCTGGTTGTACTTTCATTTGCAATGTGTTATCTTCCAAAAAGGAGTGCAGCTAAAAGCAACCACGTACCCCAGAAGGTGATCAAGGGGGACAGCACCTACTGCACAAATCACAGAAAGCAGAGGTTCCCAAATAGCCACAGTCTTTTGGGATGATACTTCAGGGCTTTTCTTCCTGCCTAAACCTCAGTCTTCCCTTCCTGCTAAATTAATTTGAAAAAGAAATCCATTTGAAGTGGAAAGCCAAAACTATCTTTAAGCCTGAATGCCCAGCTCCCTGGAGAGCATCCCTGGGACTTAGAAATGCAGGAGAGGCACCAGTGACAAATTCAGGCTCTTACCAACATGAGTCACAAAGCATGACTCCTTCCTGCACTTCCATGCAGCACCATGGTGCTCACTGGGCCCCTCCATCTACTGCACAGAACAATAATCAGAATAATTATTCTGATAATTATTCAAAATAAGCAGTGTCCAAAAGCCTTTTGAGCTTTAAATAAAATCATAATCTATTACTGTGCATAACTCTTAGGTTGTTCAAGCACACAGAAAACACTGCATGTCAGCTTATTTCTTGGATATTCTTTACTGTGATTTGTAATATTGTTTCTCTTCCACTGTGCACGTTTAAAGCCACGTTATGCATTTCCTAAAACCCAGGGAAGATTACTATGGAATTAGAATGGATATTCATCTGTATCAATGCTGAGTTTGGCACTTACTTTAGCAGTACTCATCAAGCTGAGGAACTGCTTTAATGCTTCCTTCCAACAGAATAATGGCTCACACTAATACGCTTTAAACAAATATTGCTTCAGGTAATCAATAATGTTTTTAAATAATCTGTAAGCGTCATTCTTTGAATGCAGCCCTTTGATTTGCTTACAAGAGGCCAAGTTCACACACAGCACAACAAAGCCTAAGTTGATTGAAATCAACAGGATTGTTCCTGTGATTCCCAGTTCATTAATAATTCCAGCATTACTATGAGCAACCTGAAATTCAGCACAGGCCTCTCCAGTTTAACTCTGCTAAGAAGCCAGAAACTACACACGTGGTTTATGCAAGTAAATAGTTAACACAGCCTTCAGGATTCATCGACCGAAGTGAGCAGAGAGGCTCTGACTTGCTTGGCTGTAGATCAGCTCTTCCTGGCTTTCCTGCCCAACTGCAAAAAGAAGACTAATCCTGGAGGATGGATAAAGCAAGGAGCACACACAGAGGTCTTACCTTATGTTTTCTATTTCTTGCATTCATTAAGCTGTCAGTGGTGAGGAAACTTGTTTCATTATCTCAAGAAGGAGACACCTTCTGTCCCCCCACCTTATTAAAATGTAAATCAGTATAATGGTACATTTAAACAGTAAACTCCCTGTAGCAAGAAAGGGTTCTTAGTTCTTTCAGTAATCAAGTACTATTTTCAGCAATCTAACTGAAGGAAAAGAAATGTATGTAGTAATTCTTCAGTCTATTTATCAGACTAAGTGCTGCACGTTTTCCACACACTTTACACTACAAAATGTATGACACATAAGGTTTTATGGTTCTCTTTTAATTCAGGAATGAAAACATTTATAGATATGAACATTTTCTCATTAACTTTTCTTCCTAAATGATTATGCTTGTTGAAATCAATTCCTAGCCATCTTACAGAGGTTACAACCTTCAATAATTAAATCGGATATTGTATTGGATGTTACGTTGATTATGCTACAAATTCCAATTTCTACAAGACCACTGAAATGCTGAGATAAAAGGCTGTTAACTTTATTTAATTAGCTATCTGCCATTGTTATCAGAATGGAAGGTTGGTATCTGACTCAACACTTCAGATCAGGAAACAAGCTAGATGACATCTTCTTACAAGGATTCTGGAATGGATATGTAATCTTTTCAGTTATTTTACAGCTACTCAGGACAAACAGGATTGCATTAAAAACAAGAAAAGGCATTGACAGTCAGTGAAATGCTACCATGAAAATGCTATTTCAATCACACTTGGATTCTACCTCATTTTCAGTTGTTAACATCCTTGCCACTTTTGTCAAGCAGTCTCACCGAGCAGTGCTGAATTTTAAGCACACATAATTTTAAAGCACAACATGAAATAGGACTGAGCACATAGTATGAGTGTACTGCACCAGCTAACAGATCAGGCCCTTCTGCTAAGGTATCAGCTTACTCCTCTCTGCAGAAGAGGTTCAACTAGTCAAATGTGAGGTGGAATTCACGACTGCCTGCTATCCCTACACTTCAGAAACATTAGGTCTTTCAGTTGGGGGCTGCTTATCATTTATCCTGAAGGGAGACACAAAGACCACGTGAAATCTCAGAGGTCCTTGGAGAATTTTAACTGTGTCTTACATCAACTAAATCCACAGGCACCAACCTTGCAGCCACCCAGAAGATGCTGTACCTTGACAGAGTACCCAAGAGAGGCACCCTGTCTCTCTCCCCAAATTATGTTTGTATAGAATGGCGGAAGTAATTTATCCAGTAATGATACCACTCTGCCACTTCAAGGTTTCTTACAGTTCAGGCTGCAGAAACGTGATTATTCCTTTCAGAACAACTTACTGGTCTTGACCGGATTTCTTTGGCGTAGAGAGGTTTCAAGAATTCTGAATCTCCTTCCAACTTCAGACCCTTATCTGTGATTCTCAGGTTCCCCATTCCATCCTAGAACACATACAAAACAAAACATCCCCATTAGTTACAATTACTAAATCCATCAGGCTGCCAATAACTGATTTCTGTTTCCTATTGAGGAGAACATGCAAAACACTGGGAGGCACTAGAGAATGCAGTTATTCATGTTATCCTTTTAGCCCTGCTTCTGTGAAAAAAAATCCATTCAGAGCAATTTGCAATGCCCCCCAGTAAACCATTTACAAAGATGAAAGATGCTCTTTTAAGCCAGTCATCTCCACTCAAAGAGACGCAGCGATGCTCTGCGTTAACAGGAAACTATTCACTGCAATATTCACTGTGTGTCTGTAAATTCATCTACCTTCTCATTCATGACAAATCCATATAAAGAACACGTGATTAATTTTACTGAACTCCATACAGATTATCTGTGATTACTTTCACTGAACTGATAAAGTAAGTTTTGGCTATGTAGGAGTACTGCAATAAATGGAGTATGGAACATGCACCCCCATATTTGGGGAAATCTCTGCAAAAAACAGACTCTTTGGTATGGTTTCCTTAGGGCTCATGACAAAAGGATGCGTTGGTTAGTTTAAAGTCTCACATCTTCCTTGTGCTTTCAACACTGTAAAAACAATACACAGCTCAATCAAAACATACATTTCTGCAATATACAAGAGGAATATATATATATACAAGAGGAATACCTTCCCAATGGACTGCTTTTCTGCCATGGGCTAAATCCTGACTTTTCTTTCCCAAGATGACCAGCTTGGGGTTGGAGCCTTCCCAGTGCTCCTTGTACAGCCTGAGCATATCCCAGACGTCTGAACCTCCATATCCAAATATTTGGGTCTTCTGAGTCAGTCTCCTGCACTCAAATAACTATTGCAAAGTTCCAGAGGTCAGGTCTGAAGTGACTGATGTAACATGCATCTCTCTCTCCTCATCTGGATTTCACATTTGGATTACCAGCCCTCTCCCACTCTCCCTATTGCTTCCTATGCTGTGATGGGAAGGGATCTTCTTGACAAATGGGGCAAAGAGTTGGCTGCAGGTCTCCAGCAGATGACTACAAATACTTCATTTTCTTTTGAAATTGTTTAGTTATGTTTGTCCAAAATGTAATAAAACATCTGACAAACCATAATAGCAAAAAAAAATATACGTCAAAATTTTGTATGAGTTTTTCATACAGTTTTTATTCAATAAGACAGGTATATGGCTCATGAGTAGAATGGGGCCCAACTAAAAATATTTCTCTTTTAGCTTGTGAGAGAAAGTCACAACTTTTAATAAGATGTGGGATTTACATTCATTTAGGATGCAGTTGTATAGAAAGTTGTATGTTTAAGCAATGATGTTTGTGGGGAACTGCAAAAGATAGATGTATAATCAAAAGCACTTCAAATGCAAAGAAGAAAGGTAAGGGGAGGGGAAAGGGAGAGGGAGAGGGAGATGAAGAGGGAGAGGGAAAGGGAGAGGAGTTCAGCTGGGGCCTACAAAGATCAAGTCCAACTGCCCGACCACTTCAGAACTAAGCAAAAGTTAAATCATATTATTAAGAACATTATCCAAATGTCTCTTGAACACTGATAAACATCCACCACAAAGACACAGCATGGCTCAGCAGGGGTGCTGGTCACTCACCAGGGATTCCCCTGTTCCCACAAGTGTCAGTCCAGAGGGTGTTCCCTGCCAAAGCAATGATCACTTTTCTCATAACATGATGACTCATGAACAAAGGGTTCAGGAGTGCTGGCTGATGGACTGACTGCTGTCACATCATTTTGAAACGAAAGGTGTAAGCAAACTTTAAATGGAGACATACGCTGAAAATGCTATTGATTGCTGGAGGGGGGGGGAATAAGAGATGGGTTGTAAAGTGCCAGTTGCTACATTTCCTGCTCCAGCTGTAAAATACTGGCTTATGAATTCTGGGTTGGTGATGGCACAGAAGGGGGTTCATTTATCTCAAGCAAAAGTATGAAGAAAATGAGTGAAATATGATTATGCGCCAAAGAGCCAAGATTAAATTTTGATAGTGGTATGCTTTGCGATTTGAGTGAGCAGGAATTATTACTGCTATCTGCAGACCCTCACGTGTTTTGCTCTGCTAAAAAAAATCTAAAAAGTCTTCCCCCAAATAGACATTTCAGTGAGATTACAAGGCCTGAAGGCTTTCACGCTGCAGTGTCACATAGGTAGGTGTCACATCTAGCTGCAGGAATGACCACCTCTGCAGCTACCAATCCTGACTATTCCCAGGGTTCACTGCTGAGCTGATGTAAAGCAATACTCCACCAGTAACTTGGACTGATGGCACTTGTCAAGTCACCACTGAGGCTGCGGTAAACCACCAAGTTCAGAGGATCACAACTACATCTCTCAGTCATAACACAAATCCAGTATTCCACTTCCTTCTTGAGTGTTTCTCTTCCTTTCTCCCCTTCACCTCCTGTTTCCAAGTATTCCCCAGTGGGATTACTTATATTTAAAAAACACACATATGGGACATATAACTCACAGTTAGCTGGTCTCATACATCCAAAAAGACACATCAGGTCTATGGGACAACACTCAACAAGCAGAACTCCAAGAACACATTTGATTCATATTGTACATACAGGTGCATGCTCTCAAAAATACAAAACCATGGGGTTGGAGTAAAGAAAGCACTTCTCCATGTTATTTTTCTCAGCCTCTGACACTGTCATTCTGACCCCACTCACCAGATGTTACCTCCTTCCTTCCATGGGGTTTGGGGTCAGAACACAATGCCCAGCGCTGACACTGACCATCACTACCCCTCTGTTCATGCCTCTTCTGATTGGAAATGGCAGCTTTTTGTTGTGACATTCTGGGTCAGCGGTCAAAAAAAACCACACAAAGGTTGTAATCTGAGTCTAAAGTGAGCAGGTATTCCTAACTTCTAACAATATAATCATTATTAAATAGTACTACCTTATTACCTTCTGTTAGAAAATATTCTGCAGCTTGCAGAATGATACAAAGGTAACAAAATACAGATATATTTGAAAGAAATCATTGCATGAAAGAACACCCTGCACGTGTTGTTTTGGGTAAAGCATCTTCCTCCTCCCTATAGAATATGGTTTAATAGAAACTAAATGTCATACTCTGCTACAGTGAATATATATATAGCACTAGTGCTATGAAATTTCATGGACCTTGACCTATAAAACAGAGCAGGAAGCTGACCAGAGTGACAGAGACCATGATTTTTTTATTAAACACTGTGTCATGATTGGTATATATCCTTATCTGCCACTATGTTGCTTGGGAGTAAGAAAAAAAACGTGGTATTGATTATGTGGTACGCTGATGTCCGACAATCTCTGTTTCTCCCCTCTTTATTAGCAGACTCCTCAACAGAGAATGAATGACTTCAGTGTGCAGGCACAAACCAGCTTTGTGGGAGCTTCCAGGCTAACTGCTGGAAAACAGCAGGCACAGAGTCAGGAACTTTCCATTACCTCCCGCTTTGAATTATTCAGTTTTTTGGTAGAGCAGGGAGATAACTTCCACATTACTTTTATTGCCTCAGCCACCTCTCTTTTTATACAATGCCTTGTAATGGGCAAGCATAAAAATTTATATGCTGTCACCGACTGCTCCGTGTTAAAATGGGACAGCAATGGTAAAATCCCAATAACATAAATGTCATTTTGGTATTGCTGAATGATGGAGGACTTTCTTTTTTATTAGCTTGAGAAGCAGCTCAGTTTAACAACCAATTACAATGGATAGTGCTGGTGTCAGGGGAAGAGCCCAGCATTGCTGCTACCTGAAGGCTGAGGCTCCTTTTCCTTGAGGTCAGCCCTGGGGCCATATGCACAGGCAAAGCCTGGCTTTTTTGTTTTGTTTTCCTTTGTAACAGCTGTGGGTTACTTTCTACTTTGTTTTTAACTGTACATTCGGTAGCAGGGAAGTTCAGTTGGCAGAATAAGAAAAAGCAGCCAACCTGACCAGAGATATATAATTACTGCAGTGAATACCTGCAAGCTGCACCAATCTGGGCTGCTGTGGGGGATTTCCAGAAGTGTCTGCCCCCCATGGTAGCTCTATCACATAAGGCTGGGCTCATGCCACAGCTAACCTAGAGCATGGGCTGGCTGCAGCCTTTGTGCCATGATGTTCTTTACAAACCCTACATTCAGTCTCACACTGCTCTGCACTTCCTCAGGTATTTCTGAATACAGAAGGGAAATGTGCTGTTTACTGTTCTGTTGCTCTTTTCCTAAGGATTTTCTAGGGACACCAGTGATGGCAAGCACTATGAGCTCCAGCTGCTTGCTGGCCACCACCAGCCCCGTGCGTGTCAGTGCTGTGGGCTGCTTGGTGAAAAAGCAGTTATCCCATGCTTTTTCCTGCACCTCCATCCTGTATCAGTTTTCTGCAGCAAGGTTTGTCTCTGCATGGCAGGTAAGGATTTGCTTCTTTTACTGGGAATAAACTGAAGTTATGTATGGTAACATCCTGTGGGAGAGAATTATCTTTGGAGACTGCTCATGTCAGATGGCTGCAACACCTGATTATTGTTGCTTGTATTATTGATTGCTGCGCTCTGCATCGCTTCCAGATATGTGCAAGTTATTACACAGCTCAATACATCCGAAGTTAGGAGGAAAAAAACAGCAAATGCAGGTGACCTGTTTTACCTTACCTTCCTCAGATGATTTCTGTGCTCTCCTACCTCTATATTAACATTACTTTTTCCAGTTTTCCCAGACTTAAGGAAGGTCTGCAGAGATGCACTTTGCTGTCAGTTGTTCACAACCTCAAACACCTACTGACTCTAACAAGATCACTCCTCATTTTCTTCACTTAATTAGTCATTTCTGTAAAGAGACCACTCTCTAGCACAGTCTCATCAGCACAGTCCTTTTTCCGTAGAAGCCAAGAAAGCCTAAAAACCCACCAGTGGGCTCAGTTCTGGAAAGTTAGGGAAAGTTAGGGCTGGTTACACAGCATGGTCTTAACCTCCAAAATAAGGAGTGTGACAG